ATTGAAGAGAACTCGCACAGTTCTTCAATGCAAAAGAGAGCTTGCTTAAGTTAGTTCTCTATAGCATTGAAGAGAACTCGCACCGTTCTCTTCAATGCTATAAGGAACTATGCAGCCGAGAATGTATTGTATCAGAACTTCACACCAAACAATGCTTCACAGAACTTGACTCTCGTTTGCAGAAGTAAATCAGTAAATTTGTCTTTAGCTACAATACAGTAATACAGTAATCATTTCGTTTCGCAGCCACTTACAAGCTTGAATATCCAATAACGGAGACCATCAGTAAGCAAATAATTCAATGAACATACCGAATGTCATCCTGGCTATCAGAAAGGGAAACGCAAAATTGAGGGATGAAACGAGCGTCAACACAGACAGCCATCTAATTCGTATCTCCATAGTCGATCGTTTACTAAAGTGGCATATGTCGACCGGATCGATTCCCTGAATTCATTTCTCCTTCTAATATTTATATTATTGCTGGAAAACTGTATCAGAACACTTTAAAATTTTGTTTTAACTTGACGTAAGGCTGCCTTAACAGATTGCACAAGATAATACGTGAAGTTGTTTTATTAAAGCAAAACTCTTCAGTTGAAATCTCCCCTTCAAATGCCATGCGATCTTCTAAAACTTCTTGTCATTTCGGCAAAAAAATATTATGGACCGTTCTATGTATGTTTTCGAAGATAAACTTCAATCACAAAATAGCTGCCCATAGTTTCAGTGAAATCGCAGAAATATTCTAACAAGATTCTGATCATAAGAAAGCGGCGGAATCAGTTTGCTGCCGTGGAGATCAAATCGAATGAATGAATCGAAACTTCAAGATGAATTGAAATCGAAATTCGCCAGCCAAACAACTGAAATTAAATCAAACTGATTGATGTCTTATATAAGGATCATGCATAAAACACGGATAGCGATAATATAAAAGATACACACGAATATTCATGATTGCATACGCAAAGTAAAACTTCTATTATGTGTTTGGTATTCAAATTTCAGATTCGCCTCTCAATTCATAATGCAGTTTGAATATTTATGATCTTGCATCTTGCATCAAATGCAGTGATTCAAAACAACTTCCTTACCGTATTCACTGCTGAATAATGTGTCATAATTGCTCTGACATATGCTTATGCTTGTTTAAGATATTTGCAACACTGAACGACGTGTTACAATGCATTAATGAAATCATCTACAAATTAGTACATCCTTTCAAGAATTAATGGCCTCTTCGAAGGTCTTTGCAATTAATGGTCTTTGCATTAATAGAAAGATTCTGATTTTTAGCATTGGTATAAAAATTATCTTTTTTTAGTAGATCCACCATCAGATCATGTCCACTGTATGTGCATGCATCTAATACTGTTTAAGATGATTATTTCAAAATGCTCAGTGAATCTCTCAATTCAGTGTATCGTTTCACATTCCATGAACTGTTTTCAATAAGGAGAGATTAATATACAACTGCAATAGTCTCGTTTTAGTGGTCAGATGTGAGCTTGAAGCATATTAGACGGTTTTTGAGATACAATCAGTTCATCAAGAGATACAAGCAGAATTAGATTCGAATTCAGTTGGCCTCAATTCATGTCCGCCGTCTCAATTCTATATCCCTTTCTCCTAGTCTCTTTTTGAGAGCCTCAGTTGTATTTTAGCTGGTGTACAACAGCGCTTCGTGGCATTAACACCTGAAATTAACCAAATTCTTATCGTTAGGCGTGCATTTGGCGAAGTGTTTAAACGTTCGTTTTTTTCTACGGTTTAATTCAGTAGCAAAACTTTTGAGATCTCACATTTTTTGCTTATTGTTAGGCTTAGGCTTAGGCTCAATTATTTCTGAAACTATTGATGATCTAGTTCAACATCCACGAGTTACTAAATAATTTCACCATCTATAATTTCGGCTCAAATCTATACGAATCTCCTCCAGTTCATAACAAAAGGAATCTAATTGTACGTTTTATTAATCCAGAATAAGTAATCATTATGTGTATTGCAGGAGAAAATTCCGAAAAATTTTGCTGTAGCGTTTCGGAGCGTTGAGAAATCAGCGACACCTGATGTTATAAGATCAGTGTTGAATTGAAGTGACGGGCGTTCACATAATATTACAGTGCATTTTTTGATTGTAACGGAAACTGAGAAGGGGATGGAGGCCTTGAAAGGATGGAATATGAACGATGTACATGAGTGCATCAAGAAACCGACTGTGGAATTCGTTAAGTTCTTACGACAGGTAGGCATCCTACCCATGAACAAAGTGTGTGATTGCGGCAATGAAATGACCCTGGTGTTCAAGGATAAGAAAACGAAGTCGCTTACGTTTACTTGTCGCGGAACGAGTTGCCGAAAAAGGAAGGGAATCTATGTGGGGACATTTTTCGAGAAAACTCACCTCACCCCAAAAGAAGTCTTTCAAATGGCATATTTGTGGAGTCGTGGTCACTTTAAAAACGATGAGATAAATTTCGAAATGGTCAGGGAAAAGCCTGGAAACCTCTCGACGAATACGTTAGCGGACTGGAATAATCTCTTTCGAAAGATCGCAGTCGAGTATTTCAATCGCAATCCCATTCGAATCGGTGGGGTTGGCAAAACTGTTGAGATTGCTGAGACATCGATCGCGAAAAGCAAGTACGGCGACGGTCGGAGTGCTGCGGAACAGTGGATTTTCGGTGGGGTGGAGGTGGAGAGCGGAGAATGTTTCCTGGTTCCCGTAGAGGACAAGTCCGTAACCACACTACTGCCCATCATATACGAACACATACTCCCGGGCACAACAGTAGTATCGGAGTGTATGTCTGTATACAATCAAGTGCAATCTATGCAGTACTCAGATTCAGATGAGAACCATTCGGTGAATTTCGTCAGTCCAAATTCGTCGACTAGCAGAAATCGTATTGATTCTGTATGGCAGAAATTCAAACTTGCTCACAAGTGCCGATATGGAACGCATCGTAGTGTATTATCCACCTATGTTCAAGAATTTGTATGGCGTAGAAAGTTCGGCGGTCCAAATGCTTTTTATGAGCTTTGGAGGCAAATAATGCAACTGTATGCTTGCTGAATTGTCTCCAAGTGGATCGTCATCCATTGATAACGATGCATAAACCTAAGCGTTTACCTGAACGAAAAAGTCTCATTCGCCCAGCGTTTAGCAGCGTGATTTCACGTTTCGCACATTACTTCCTTTAAAAAAAACAGTATCCGGGAAACCTTATAGTGCCCACTCAACTTAGTACGCATATCTGAATAAACGTGGCGGTATTCGTGGTGATATTTGTGCGCATTCGTCGACGGCATTTTGACCAGAAAGTGAACACGAAGGTGTCGCTGATCTCTCGACGTACCGAATCGAAAGCAGTGCCCAATACAGTTGAGTAGCAATCGTGATCGCGTTCCATTGCAATCCACTCAAAATTTTTCGATGCGTAAGTTCGACAACGTATACTTCATTATACATAAAGTCATCAGTTGTGTTGGTATCACTTAACAAAATTATTTAATCGGCATTCATTTCAATGAGACAGAATCGTTATTAATACGCTTAAAAGGGTTGATAAAACCTGATATAAGGACTGTTATGATTCACTTATATGTTCTGTAAGTGAATTATATCCTAGACAATTATCTGTCTGAAAACAAATCCCATCATATTCATTGCATTTTAGCATCACATCGTCTCAGTGGACTTCGAAAGTCCAGTGGTGAATTCATTAAAGAGGAGGATCAGATCAATAGTCACTTACTAGAAATCAATGCCAAAGTTAGATTTTAATTCTGCTTTCTGTTTGTGTATTCAACTAGTTTCTTTAACGGTTCGATTGATCTCAATTATTACCCTTTCAATTACTGAACGAGGCATTTCAGTCGAAAGTGTTAGCGTCTAGATCCTTCTTGTTATCTGTATCATTATGGTAAGTTCAGATGTGATTTGAAATGATTTCAGTTACGGAAAGTAATCGAGAACAAACAGAATGTGAATGCCACATTGCAACCAATCCAAGCGTTGATCGATCGTAATAAACTGAACATCGGTTGCAAGTTAAGTGGTCCGTTACGCAATAGAGTTATAGCTCTTTATAATCAAGGTTGTAATGGATTAATTGCAATCACTTCTTTTACCAAAGTAGTAATCGTTAGCATCGTTGAATGCCACAAGAAATGAAAAATTGAACAGAGCAGTAAATGTTTCATTATGTAATCTCATTTCTAATGTAGGGAAAACATCCGTCTTCGAGTAAATGTTTTAATATTCGGAGTGACAAAAAAAGACCGTTCAACCAAACAATACCTAAATCATTACGAAGAAAGAGAGAACAGTGACTGGAAGCATAAATCAACTATTTGCGTCATAGATGGTCTCAAATATCATATCATAAAATTAAAAATGATCGTAACAGTGATCAAGATTTGATCATTCAATGATGTAAGCTAATATTGTGGTGCTTACAATCAGCGATACATCTTTGGGAAGTATGCTATTGCGATATATTTCAGTTGTTTTGCTGAATGAATGCAATCTGAATAATAATTTTAGCAAAGAAAGCTTGCGAGGAAGAAGAGGCATTGCTACGTAAGCTATTGCAGAAGATAAATGATATTCACGAACTGGAATATAACGTAAATATTCATCGTTCGTCGATCTCATCACCACCGTCCTCATCAGTCACTGCATCTGGCAGCAATACCAATAAATCATCGAAGACCGTACAGATCAGACGTGGTGCATTCATGCAATACTTGTTGCATCATGCCCGCAATATCCCGGTGTGGATTAGTCCTGTGGATATTCATCCACCTGCACTAGTTGGTGCCATTCCATTTCCAGATTTTGCTGCAATCAAGGTGATTTTATCTATGCTGAATGCTGTTGCATCTTATTACTAGATTTGATTCCTTTCCATTCAGTTACTCCACCAACAGCAATTGAACTTGCGATGAAACTGGATAACTATTGGGTGTTGATGGTCACGTATATCCTCGTGCATCATTATGCTTATTTGTTGTATTGTTATTCTTGATAGGTTCAAAGTAATTTGATTATGTGTAATATTTGATCTATAGATTGGAAGTGAAGTGGCAGCATATGTGAACGAAATTTGGATGTTATCTGAAATAGTATCGGTGAATGAGTCGAATGGTGTTTATGAGGTGAAGGACGTTGATGATGACATTCAAAATAAGTCGAAATATCTCGTGAAAAGAAATCGATTGATACCGTTACCGAATTGGAGAGCTGATCCACAACGCGACGCACATGCCCTGTTCCCGACCAATTCGGTTGTATTGGCACTGTATCCTCAGACCACTTGCTTTTATAAGGTCAGTTTTTGATAGTTGATGGGCGATTTCATTCATAAATAGCCTGATGATGGTGAATGAATGAAGTGGATAAGTTAAGGGTGTTGTCGAATGGATACCGGAGAAAGCGGCCGACGACTATTTGGTAGCGTTCGAAGATTCGTCGTTTTCGCAGGGATTCTCACCGCCTCTACCCGTTCCACAGCGTTTCATTGTTGCGTACAAGTTGATTAAGTCGCATAAGTGCAATAAGCCGAATAAACACAATAAGACGAGTAAGCGAAAGGCAACCGCAATCCATCATCGACGTGATAATGTCGACAGTAGTGATGATGATGAAGTGGATGAATAATTCATCATTGCTATTGCTTTGCTACAATCAAATCACTATGCATTTTCCTACAGCACTGTTTTATCATTCAACTGCTTGCGAACAAAATTCGCTGTTGTGAGATTTTGAAGAATCTTAATTTCTGAGCAATCCCTATCTCTTTCGCGAATGTTTATTCGGCTTGAAAAAGAAATCGTTTGATTTGAAGAAGTACACGTGATGTGCAGTATACACTGATTTCCATTCTTTCAAATTCACCTATTTTATGTATAATATTACCATTACTCGTGTAGTTATGTTATTATTATTATTGTTACTACTTTTGTTATTTATTATCACAATTTTGCATTCATTGAATTCTCATTGTGGTTATTACTATTATTACTGTTATTGTGATTATTGTTATTACTGTGGTTATTTCTTTAAATGACTGAAAACACAAAGTCAAGGGTGGACCAGAGTGCAAGCTCACGCAGCATTCTCATTTGGAACTCCATATTTTTAGTTTTTATCTCTGTGCAGATCAAATCGATTTCCTAAAATCATCAATTTGAATTCATCTTGTCTTGTGATAATCAGCCTCTTGCTTAACAACTAAACCAGCATATCGAGGAATATTGCTGTGAAAACGATTATGTTGCAATTGTTATAGTGTTGCTCTGTTAAACTCAATATCAATCCAATCACATCAGGGGATATATTTGGTGATTAGATGGTTGATATCAAAGGCGGACGGGTTTTTCCAAAGTTGAGGTAAATCCTTCTCGGGTGCATTCAAAAGATGTCTGAGGGTATTAAAACGGTTCGAAAATTGATATTGACTGATCTTTTTTTTTATGATCCTTTCATAATTGTTGAGTATTGTTTCAAATACCTTTCAGCTTCTTGAAACTGCCTTCACTTAGTTCTATTGTTTTAGAATTATATCATTGGAATTGTAGTAATTATCCGTTTATTACTATCATTACTATTATCATCATCACATTTGTACATCAACATGTTCGTATCACAATGCATTATCAAAAACTGATTAAACTTAACGAGTCTGGTATTAATCATGATCAGAAATGTTTTATTCTGATGAAATAAATCATTATAACGAAACCTTTCATTCACCGAATCATGCCCCACCACCAAACTGTCAATTCAAATCAACACAATAAAAAAATCGCAATTATCACTGAAAAAGGCATGAACTGATACGACATTAACAACTGAATTGCTTTATTATAGTGGAAGTTATCAGCAGCAGTGCTTGATCGGAGCCGATAACCGAGTTGTTAATCGAATTCAAATCATTTCTCAACCATTACTTAAACTGCACTCATCGACTGATTATGCTTTAATGATTCGATCTTGTATTGTTTCAGTTCAACTTGTATTGTTTCTCAATTATGTCGTGAGTACATGCTAAGAAGTCACCCATAGAACCCCACTTGCCCAGACGCGTTTGTTCGATACTGTCATTTATTTGCGAGTCCGCATTTTCAAACATCCACTCGATGATTATAGTGCTTTGCGTGATCAAACGATCTATAGATGCAGTGCTCAGTTCAGGACCTCCATAGAACGCAAGCCGTCTTGAGAGTAGAGCCATCTGCTCGCTCAAATCCGCGTCGCAGTCATCATAATCACAGTCTGAAATCAATGGAATACATTAAGCTGAGTCGTTTACGTCTACAAATTGTCTTCTAAAGGAAGCTTGTGAAAACATTTAGGACGGGTCAACAACAGTTATGAAACCGAACATTATTTTAACGTGACATTCCTTGTTTATGTAAGTGATACTGATGCTTACAAACAAATTATTTAGATGCAGTTTGATTGAAACTTGGATTCTACATTTGTACAGCATTCTTTTAGGTGCCAAGATGAGAATTTTTAAGCGCAAGTACAGCCAGTTTAAGCGAACCATGTTCCCCACGAATGAATGCATAAGTCTTGACAAGGACATTTGTTACGGGCACTTTTCAGAATCGGCTGGGTTTAGAAAGCTTTAAATCACTGGTTTGTTGCAGATGATGAGTTATTTCACCTATAGGTTCGTATTTATTTCATGCTGACTGCAGAGAAACTGCAGAATTGAAAGCGTTTAAAGCAAGCATTTGAAATGGAACGGGAGATGGACGTGATATTGAGATGCTGCTGCCATTTGGATTTACAATGTACACATACTGTATCTCACAATTCGGCGAATATTCAATTAGTGAGTCAATTGAGCATGCACTCATTGTCAATTTTTAGCAGAGTAAAGCACTGCTTTGCTGTAATGCAACAGCAAGCTCATATGGGTGAAGCGATGTCTTGCGATCAAGGAATAATGTCTAATCAAAAGGCAATCAAACATATGATCTGTTAAAAACTGTTGACTAACAACGATCAAAAGCGTTCGCAACAGGTCCAATATTACCATTTTTTGGCGTTAATTCGTTAAGTCTATCACAGATTTGTGGATTAGCCAGATCTTTTACAGCCTTTATTGGTACGACAGATGGGTCATCTGAAAAAATGGTTGCATTCTGAAGCGATATTAAACTTCTCGAAATGTTGATTCTATTCTGATCTGAATACTTCAGCACAGTTTAAATCTCGCATCTCTGCAATATAACACCCTGAAACTAAAATGTAATGTTCTCTGTAGCGCTTGCTTAGTTCTCTATAGCATTGAAGAGAACTCGCACAGTTCTTCAATGCAAAAGAGAGCTTGCTTAAGTTAGTTCTCTATAGCATTGAAGAGAACTCGCACCGTTCTCTTCAATGCTATA